GGATGATGGCCTTATGGTTCTTCTGGAGAACGTTCTTGTTCTTAGGAGATAGGTGGGAAAATATGCCCGCGTCTTGCTGTCCGCAATGTTCTCATAAATGGTTCAAGATAATGCACACGCAGGCAGGGCGAGCACACATGGCTAAGCATTTTTAAAAGGGGAATTTCCATAGGCTCCAGAACCTAGCCGTTGTCTTGGAAAGCTCTGATCCCCAGGAAGAGTGGGGCACCGAGCAGCTAAGGGTGGAAAGGCCAGAGGGTTTGATTGGGGACCAGTTTATGGACAAGAGCAGCAATGGAAGGTCCTTTCTACTCTATGTAACGTTCAGCCTCCTCCCACTGAGGGCCGGGGGAAGCTGAGAATTAGGTGGAGTAGAAAGAACATAGATTTGGGGGCAAAGACCTGAGTGGCCTAGCTAAGTGGCTTCAGTGAGTCCCTGAACCATGTTGTGCCTCACTTTCCCTATCTGTAAAGGGAAGGATGCCCTTCCCATGAGGCTGGGAAATCCCTCGGGGCCCTGGAACCTGCTGCATTCGGACACGTCTGTCTCCACGCCAGGCCTGGGAGCCCTGGGCAGGAAGAGCCCATGAGGAGGACAGCCACGCTGGTGGAACTGTTGGTTCTATCAGGGTTGGACTATAGACCTCCCTCTGCCTCCCTTCCTGGGTACTCCTGAGGGTCCCAGCAGGGCTGGAGAGTGGGCATAAGGCAGTGCCTCTTGCCCTATCAGATCCCCAGGAGCGGAGGCTGGTTGAGGACCTGCATTTCCCAAAGCATGCTGGGAAGGCAGAGTGGCCAGAGGAGGGACGCTTGGGCTGACACACAAATGACTCAAACCAATGCGCAGTCGTGCCTCTCATTTCTCCCAACCAATCCTAAGTCCTGAAGGTTCTGGCTTTGCCTCATCCTGCCCCCACCCAAACCTGCATTGCTGGCCATGAAACTGGGGCTCTAGAAATACTTACCCTGTCTGGGAGGGCACCCAGGCTCCGGCCTGATCTGACGTGGCATGCAACCTTGGATGGGTTACTTCCTTCCTCGAGGCCTCAAGTGACCAGAATCCATAAAAGGGGGTGATCCATCCCTGAAATGCCTACATCTGAGGGGACAGCAGGTGGAGAGAGGAAGGAATACACATTTCGGAGGTTCTGTGGTCCAATCCTGACACCGCTGCTTGCGCGTGGCATCTGGGAGCTTTTACGTCTCACAACCTTCATTTCCTTAACCGGAAGATGCTGGTGCTTGTGCCCAGTGTGTAAGGTGGTTTCAATAAATGAGACAAAGTGGGTATAGAAGCGGACATGTAGTTTATTGGTTTATTGTCTCCCCGCCCCCCCCACGAGAGTGTCAGTCCCGGGAGGCGGGGACTTGGTCCCGCTCACTGCTGCCCCCCAGCCTCCAGGGGGTGCAGGCACCCGTAGGAACTCCCTAAGCAATCGCATGGATGGGCAGAACAAGGTGCTCAACACATGATAGCTCCCACGGTAATCCTAAAATGTGCCAAGACAAAAAGCATTTGAAGTTCATGGTTGTTGTGAGAGAGAGAGAGAGAGAGAGAGAGAGAGAGAGAGAGAGAGAGAGAGAACACCTCTGGAAAGCAAGAAATAACGGTCAGGGTTGGCACAGGTCTGTCGCTCTGTCCGTCGGGCAACGGAGTACATGAGGAAAGCCGAGTGTCCTGAACCAGGGGATGGAGATGATGTGCCATGAGGTCCTGGTAGAGCATCCGTAAGTCAAGTGGGCGGCGGTGGCTGGTCCTTGGCAACTTGGGGAGCCCTGTGCCCTCTGTCTCTGAGGGCTCCCCTCTCAAGCTGACTTCGGCCAGGTGGCATCGCAGGCCCAGGCTACCGGTGCAGCTGATGTTACAGAGAAGCCAGAAATCCCATGGGAAACAATTCATTTTTTAAAAATAAAAACACAAATAAAAGCAGACCCATCTGTGGCTGGGAGGATCCCTGTGACGCCGCCCGACCTCTTGGGCGGCCTGGGCAGGAGGAGGGGGGTCCGATGGTGGCGCCTCTGGAGTGACCCCCCACGGGGTCCTTGTCTCTCCAGCCTTATTGGGCAGTCCCAGCCCGAGACACAGGAACCCATGGGGGAAATGCCGGAGTGCTGTCCTTATCCAAACGGCCCATGTCGCCCACCGCCAGGGAAGCAGCCACTGCCGTGGGTCCTTGGGGTGAGGGCGTATCCAGGCTCTGGGGCTCCCGGGCTCAGGATCAGTCAGCCTGCACAGAGCCTGGCCCAAGAGATGTTCAGTCCATAGTGACTGATGGGCCCTCTTCAGCGTGACTCTAAGCATGGCTTTCCCATCCGGGGCCACATCTGTGTAATGGGCACAGCGACACGGTCCCACCGACCTCACCGGGGTAATGGGGAAAGCAGGTGAGATTCTGGGGGCAGAAGGGTTTCTGAAGATTGAAAGTGCTTTACAGATTCAAGGTGTGGTCATCCTTGTTGTCATCAGTGTTATGAGCAAGACAGTGTGGCCAGAGCAGAAGAGGGGGCCTGGGACCAGAAGAGCAGAGAGTTCCAGACTTCGCAAGGAGGATCCGGATCAAGCCAATGGGGCTCATGCAGAAGAGGGGGGGGGCGGGGGGAGGGAGTCATGCCACAGGTGCTGCCCATAGAATATAGAAACTATATAAATAACATAAATATTTTCTCATATATCTTAGCTATATAAATTATTCTCTTTTTGCCCTAAAATCTATATATGTGAGGTAGACAACAAATACCCTGTGAGTGATTCCCTTAAAGCTATATAGAATGAGGGGGTCAGTGGTAACTGGTCCCCAGGGTCCCGGCAGGACTGAGGTGGACCTCTGGGGGCAACTGGAAGAGAAAGGGTGGGAGCCATAAAAGAGAAGGAAGGGCTGGAGAGAGGTGGCCCCACAGGCTGAGGGGCCCTCAGAGTCTGCATCCGGGCCCTTGGCCTGGGCTGTCTGTGTTGGTGGCCAGCCATGGCCTTGGTCCCTCAGAGTCTGCCCTTTATCCTCCTGCACCCCCGACACCGCCGGCCCGGGTGTTGGGGTGCAGATGGCGTGTTGGGGTGCAATCATGCTCCTCCTCCTGCCGCTGTAGGCCTCGGGCTGAGCCAGCGTGGGGGCAGAGTTGGGTCTCTGGGGAGCAAGATGGATGCGGCTGGCAGAGTCTCCAGGCGGTGGGAGTGGGGAAGAAACGAGAAAACCAGCCCCCGCTCCTGGGTGCTCTTTCTGCCAGCCGTGGGCCAGCTGCTTGGGTGCGTGGTCAGTCCAGAAAGCGGGCTCATCAGAGCCTCTGCAGCCAGAGATCCTTCCAGCATCCTGCAGGCTGCCCGCGCCCCTGGAGAGGCAGCGCCGTCTGGCCCTCGGAGGTCTCGCCCCGGGGCGTCTTCCTGGGGCCTGAGTGGAGTTTCTGAGCACTCAGCTGACTCTGACGCTTCCTGTTTCAGTGGAGGGTCAGCAACTGCGCTCAGGGCGAAAGGAAGCTGACAGAGGGCGCGGCCGGGCGAGCAGAGTGGCCAAGGGCATCCCAGAGGAGGTCACTTCCTCCGGCTGGCTCCGAGCCCTGCTCTGGGGAAGCACAGCCGCCAGCAAAGTGACCCCTGCGGGGTTTGGTCCTGAACCGGAGGGGTGTGTGCTGCCAAGGGAGAAGCCTCAGCCTGGCAGATCCAAGGGGCATGTGCGTGTGCATGTGTGTGTGCACATTTGCATGTGTGTGTGTGTACATGCGTGTGTGTGCGTGTGTGTGTGTGTGTGTGTGTGTGTGAGTGTACCAGCCTCTCTCTCCTCCTCCCACACAGGGCCTTGGGAGGTATCACTGAAAATGTCCACAGGATTGGAGGAATTCAGCAAAGTTACTTCTATTTTTCAGGTAGAGGGCCCATTAGTAAATAAAGGGGCTCCCTAAGAAACCAGGCTTAGCAAAGACTTTCATGTCCTTATACCTCCCCAGGGCAAAAACCTTAAGTAGATGAGTAGCTGTTAGAGTGGAAATGTAACCAGGATCAGGACGCATAAGCCAACTCTCCTGTACCCCAAATGTCAACTGTGTGGGGGCCTCACAGCACAGGGGGACCCCAACCATGGGGACAGAGCCAGCTCCAGGGGAAGCTGAGACACTGAGCTTGCCTGGCACCACATCCTGCCTGGCCCCAGGGGGCTGTCACCCTCTCCTGGGCGGGGACTAAAGGTTCTGTGTCCCAGAGAAAACAGGGAGGGCTCACCATCTCCATGTGCACCCTCGATGCAGCCTCTGAGCCCCCCGGGCACTGTGCCCCCTCTGGGTCTTGCTGAGCACGGCTGGGTGGGGCCGGGTAACAGCTCTCAAGACAAGAAAGAGGCCTCAGCACGGGCAGATTTTAAAAACATAATCAGGGACTCGGAGTCTAGGACGTGTCTCTGACGTGGCCCATTCCAGCCCAGAAAGCTTGCTTTTCTCCAAACCCACAGCTCCCACCCCCTGGCCTTGCCCCTTGTCTCTGGGTGGTGATGGTTTGTGGCCCCTGGGCCCACCGTGCCCGGAGCAGGGCCCCCGGGAGGGACTGACGCCTCCCAGCCAGGCTCCAGCCTAGGCTTCCAGCTGGCACTGCCTCCCGGGGCCTTCCTCACCCAGAAGCTCAATTCCCTGCCTCTTCCCCAGGCGGCGCTGGGCCACTTGTCCTAGGAACGGAGATGGCGAGGGATTTCTCCCGTCCCCTCTGAAACCTCGGGCCTGCCTTCCTCCCGGCCTCTCTCATTTCCTTCCACTTCTTTCCCACTCTGCCTTCCTGCTGCGAGTCCTCAAAAAAGACTGGGGACCCTCGGGCTCAGGGTAGCGCCTGCCCCTCGCATGGCTGAGTGCTGAGGGAGGGGGAGGCTGCCAGGCGTGACGGGGAGAGGAAGGAGCACGGATGCCCATGGGCATGCCCATCGATGAGCGCATGCGTGCCGGTGTATCTGCCCCGAGGGGTCAGCTGGGCGCTGGGCGCTGAGTGAGGGGGTCCTGGCAGTGCCCGGCTGGCACACCGGGCGGCGGACCTAGGGCTTGCAGGTGTACAGGAGCTCCTCCTGCACGCACTGCTGGCACTCCACGTAGCAGCACCACTGCACCTGGCAGTGGCAGGAGAAGGCCACCAGGCGGCTCTGGGTGTCATAGCCCCGCCCGCAGCACAGGCTGCTGCAGCTGGCCTCCCGGGAGCACACCCTGCCCGCCGTGCCCGGGGAGTACTTGCTGGGCCGGCAGAAGCTGGGCGAGTCCTCCATGTAGACCAGGTCCCCGGGCCGGGGGGCCAGGCCCTTGGCGGGACCGTCCAGCCTGGCGGGCGCCCACAGCTCCAGGCGGCCCAGGGCCTCGTTGGTGGCGCTGGACACCTTGACCGCAGAGTCGTAGCGCAGCTTCAGCGCCTGGCCCGTCTCCCGGAACGGGGAGAGCTGCTTCCAGCAGGTGCGCACGGCGCAGGAGCCCGACACGCCGTGGCACTTGCAGGTGGTCCTGAGGCCACTCTTGACGGCCTGGGGGGGAGGCAGAGGGAGGCGGGGTCAGAGGCCCAGGGCGCCCCCCCTGGCGGGGGAGCCGCAGGAAGATGGGAGAGTTCGCTGGATGGCATCTCTGTGCAAAATAGCCCCAGGCTCCTCCTGCCCTGGGCAGAAGCAGTCCGATGCCAACGGGCATCCACGATGAGAGAGGGCTGGGCTGGCCCCTCCCCGGGCCGGAGTCCCTGCGGCGTGGACGGCGTGCATAGCCGAGGACAGCAGCCGTGGTTTGCACAGCTCAGCGATGAGGGCCTGGACCTCGGCTTCCTGAGGCCCTTCCTCCCGCAGCCTGCTCATCCCACAGACCGGGACACCGTTTACCCTCCAGTCCAGGAGAGGCAGCTACTGTGTGACCCCAGCCAAGCCCCGTCCCACGCCTGGGCCTCCTCCTCTGCCCGTGTGTGAACTCGGAGGAGGCGTGGGGGTGGCACCGGATCAGAGCTTTCTGACGATGTTGGCTACTAAGGCCTCCAGGAAGGCTAGTCCTTGGAACGGAGACCCCTTTCCAAATGTTCCTGCCTCACCGGGGCCTGGCCCCCACCCGCTGCCCAGCGCCGCTGACCCCCGGGAACCTTCCCTGGATCCTGGTCACGGTCCAAAGCCGTTGCCCAAGGAATGCTGGTTGAAGAAAAGAGGGTCCTGCCGGCACTGGTTTGGGTCAGTGGATAGAGCGTCGGCTTGCGGACTGAAAGGTCCCGGGTTTGATTCCGGTCAAGGGCATGTACCTTGGTTGCGGGCACATCCCCAGTAGGGGGTGTGCAAGAGGCAGCTGATCGATGACTCTCTCTCATCGATGTTTCTAACTCTCTATAGCTCTCTCTTCCTCTCTGTGAAAAATCAATAAAATATATTTAAAAAAAAAAAAAAAAAAGAAACATTCCCTTAAAAAAAAAGAGGGTCAGGGGGTGAAGGCATGAATAGGACGGGGGGGGGGGGAATGGGGGAATAAGGACACATATGTAATACCTTCATCAATCAATAAATTTCTTTTAAAAGAGGTTCATCCTGAGTTGTAGTACTAAAAATTAGGAAAACCGGGACCGCCTCCAAGATGGCTGCGCCCAGGTGAATACCTAGCTGCAGCCTCACACAACAATTTCAATAAAATACAACTAAGATATAAAATGGACATCACCCAGAACTACAGGAAAGTTGACTGACTGGAAATTCTACAACGAGAAGCAAGGAGAAAACCAGAAGGAAGCGCGGAGGAGCTGGAAAAGCCGAAGGGACGAAGACACGCGGCGCGCGGAGAGGACGGAGCTGGAGAGGAGGGAGGCGGAGTGCCTGGCGGGCGTTCCCTGGCGGGAAGGAGATAAAACTCCGACTGTGCTGGGCCCCCGATTGCTCTGAACCCCAGGCCTAGGCCAGACCCCGGGGACCCAGGCTCACACAGAGGGAGCCGGGCTGTAAGGCGGAACCCGGGGAAGCGGCGAAAGGGGGTCCCGGCGGTGGCACACAGTGCGCGCAGAGAAGGGACGGCCGGCTGTGCCGCAGGATTGCCTGGCGGGAAGGAGACAGGGGTTCCAGTCTGCTCTGAACGCCACCTCCAACTCCACTTCCAACTGAACTGAACCCCAATACCGGGCTCATTGGGGGAGAGCATTGACTGTTTGGCAGCAGGTGAAAATCGAGGGCGCCTTTCTCTCAGAGGCGCTTGCAACTAGTACTGAAGGACCCTGAGTCTCAGGAGTCGCATAGGGCGAGGCTGACGGAAGCCAAAGCTGTAGGCTCCACCCTGAAACCCCGCCCCATCAGGAAAGCTGCCTGCGAAAATGCCTAAACCAAATAGATCACAAACGAAAGAAATGGAGGACAAAAGCTACTGGATATAGAGTTCAAATCTACGCTTATAAGGTTTTTCAAGAATTTCCTAGAAAAGATGGATAAGACCTATGAGGACATGAAAAGAAATCAACTAGAATTAATAAGGAGTCATCAAGAAATGATAAGGGAACAACAAGAAATAAAGAATACATTGTCTGAAATAAAAAATATTTTACAGAGTCCTAAAAACAGAAGGGAAGATCGCAAGAATCAAGTCAAAGATTTGGAACATAAAGAGCCAGAAGACACTCCTCCACAGAAGCTAGAAGGCAAGAGAATCCAGAAAATTGAAGATAATGTAAGAAACCTCTCGGACAACTTCAAGCGAACCAACATCAGAATTATGGGGGTCCCAGAAGATGAGAGAGAGCAAGATATAGAAAACATACTGAAAGAAATAGTGACAGAAAACTTCCCCCACCTGGGGAAAGAATTAGACTTACAAGTCCAGGAAGCACACCGAACTCCAAATAAAAGGAATCCAAAGAGGACCACACCAAGACAAATCATAATTAAAATTCCAAGAGCAAAAGACAAAGAGAGAATATTAAAAAAAGCAAGAGCAAAGAAGGTTGTTACCTATAAAGGATCACCTATACGATTGTCAGCTGACTTCTCAACAGAAACCATGCAGGCCAGATGGGAATGGCAAGAAATATTCAAGGTGATGAATAGTAAGAACCTACAGCCAAAGATAATCTATCCAGCAAAGCTATCACTCAGAATCGAAGGTCAGATAAAGAGCTTCACTAATAAAAAAAAGCTAAAGGAGTTCATCAACACCAAACCAGACTTATATGAGTTGCTGAAGGGAGGTCTTTCAGAAGAGAAAGTAAACAAAGATAAAAATTATGAACAACAAATATGTAACTATCAACAAGTGAATCTAAAAACCAAGGAAATTAAAAAAAAAAATCTGATGAACAATAGTAACTGTTGAATATAATAGAATCAGAGGTATGGAAGGGGAGTGAACTGACGATTCTTGGGGAAAAGGGGAGAGGGGGATGTGGGAAGAGACTGAACATAAACTGTGCACCTATGGATGAGGACAATGGGGAGTGGGGAAAGGGCAGAGGGTGGGGTGGGAACCTGGTGGAGGAGAGTAATGGTGGGGGGGGGGGAGGAACATTTGTAATAATATGAACAATAAAAACTTATTTAAAAATAAATAAATAAATAAATAAATAAAAGAGGTTCATCCTGGGACGGCTGTGTGTGTGTGCGCGCGCGCGCGCGCGCGCTGGGGGCCGGTGGGGAGGATCTCCCACAGACCCTGCGCCCTGGCTGGACGGGCTCGAGCCCCCGGGAGCGCGCTCACCTTGATGCCCACGTTGGTGTTGTGGGCGTCGGCCCGCGCCCGCAGGTCCTTGCTCCCCCTCTTGGGCCCCAGGAAGTTGCTCAGGAACTTGGTGCTGTACTTGAGGTTGTCGCCGCACACGCCCCACTGCCAGGCCTGCCGGCTCTCCAGGCCCGGGGAGTCGTCGCAGGTGCAGCGCTCCATGCGGCCGGCGCTGCAGGCCCGCGCCAGCGTGTGCGTGAGGGCGGCCGCGGACACCGCGTACAGGAAGGCCGTCTCCTTGAAGCCTGGCCGGGGCGCAGGGGGAGGGGCGCGTGAACCCGGGGACCCTGCCCTTGGGCTCAGGCCGCGAGGTGCTATTTAAGATGGGCCTTTCCATTCACTGTGAGTATACAGCCCGATTCCCCAGGCGGAATCTGGGGGCAGTGGAGGGCTGGGGGCAGGGGAACAGGTGCAAACACTGAGATGCAAAGAGAAGTGACTTAGGCACCTGGTGAGGAACACAGCTGGGACTGAACCGCTGCTCCTGACTCCACATCCATGTGTGAACAAGTTGGACTAACCCACTTCCGAAGCCCCCGATCCTCTGACACATGCCCTCACCAATGGGCCTCATTAACCCAGGACTCTGCTCCCCACGACTGGGCTGGATTCGCAAGGGCAGCGTGGCCTGAACACAGGGGCCAGGGGTGTGGGAAGGGCATCCTCCCAGCCCTTCTCCTCCCCCCAGCCCTCCTGCCACCAGCCCTCCTGCCCCCAGCCCTCCTCCTCTCTGCCCTCCTCCTCTCTGCCCTCCTCCTCCCAGCCCTTCTCCTCCTCCCAGCCCTTCTCCTGCCCCCAGCCCTCCTGCCCCCAGCCCTCCTCCTCGCTGCCCTCCTCCTCACTACCCTCCTCCTCCCTATCCTCCTCCTCCCTGTCCTCCTCCTCCCAGCCCTTCTCCTCCCCCCAGCCCTCCTCCCCGCTGTCCTCCTCCCCGCTGTCCTCCTCCTCTCTGCCCTCCTCCTCCCTGCCCTCCTCCTCCCTGCCCTCCTCCTCCCTGCCCTCCTCCTCCCTGCCCTCCTCCTCCCAGCCCCCCTCCTCCCTGCCCCCCTCCTCCCTGCCCCCCTCCTCCCAGCCCTCCTCCTCCCTGCCCTCCTCCTCGCTGTCCTCCTCCTCCCAGCCCTCCTCCTCCCAGCCCTCCTCCTCGCTGCCCTCCTCCCTACCTCTCTTGAGCAGGCCCGTCCTCCCCTCCAGGCTGCAGTTCCAGCGCTCGTGCCGAAACTGGAACTGGCACTCCAGCAGGCTGAGGTGGGCAGCATCCCGCAGGGTCTCGGCCAGGCCGGGCTCCCGCCGACAGAGCTGCTTCTGCCGCCGCGACAGCTTCAGCAGGTCGCACTGCTTCAGGTGGGCCCCGCCCTGAGCCGGGGCCGCGGTGCCCAGCCCGGGGAAGGGCGTCAGGACCTCCCGGCCGGTCAGGCTAGAGAGGGCGAGAAGGGAGACCGTGAGCCTGGGGAGTCCCAATGGGGCGACGGGGTTGGGGGAGAGGACAGGTCTGGAGGACGTGGGCAGGCCAGGGGAGGGGGCCTCCGTGGAGGGGTTCGCCATTTCCGGAGGGAGGCCGGCCCCATGGGGCTCTAGTCCCTTTTTGCAGAGCAGGAAACCAAGGTGCTGCTAACAAGGGCCAGGGCAGGGTCCCAAGCGTGTCTTCTAGATGCCACAGTCTCTGCTCTCCTTGCCCACCCAGTTCCCCAACCTTACGCAATCACCGGTGCTTAACCACACACACTTCCAGGATCCACACTTAGCAAGTGGGGCCTGGGGAATGTGTATATCTGCCACATCCCCGGGCGTCTTCGATGATCAGGGAAGCCTGGGAAATGCTGCGGGTAGCATTGGCTGCTGTTCAGAGGGGAGAGCCACACTCATTCCAAAGGCGGGGATGGGGGTGGGGGATGGGGTGGGGTGGGGGGGAGGCCGAGCACTGTGCACGGTGAACAGACACCCAGCCATCCTCCCGATGGCCCTTTCCCCCTGACACATGTCACCGCCCAAGTAATCCCACGCCAACCGAACTTGTTCCCAGATCATCAACCATCTGGCCACTCAGTGCCTGTTATAAGAAATGCTTGGGGGAATATTCGCGTTGGTGGAAGAATGGGTGGAAGGAGAGAAAGGAGGAGGGAGGGGAGGGAAGGGAGGATGGGTGGGTGGGTAGATGGACAGATTGACAGATGGGTGAGTGAAGGTGACGGAGCTGAATTGCCATCAGTCCCCAACTTCTCGTTACACGATGACACCTGAAGTGTGTGGATGCTGGAATCCGGCTGCCACGTTGAGCCTGCCCGCCACTGCCTCGCTGTATAACCCTGAAGCCTTGGTTTTCTCCTCCGGAAAGTGGGACCAGTGATGCTCTCTACCTCCTGGGGGTGTTGGGGGTGATCACGTGAAAAGTACCAACCACAGTGCCTGGGGACATGCGAGAGTTTCTCAAAATCCTTTCCTCCTGCAAGATGCTTGACTGTCTAACTTGGCCAGAGTCTTCCCTTTGTCCAGAGAAGGAAACAGGCTTTTTGAAGAGGCAGTGACGGGCCCCGAGTCGCCCAGCAGATCAGCAGCAAGGTGGGGACTAGGATTAGAGCGACGCTGCTGATCTGCTGGGTGACTCGGGCCCGTCACTGCCTCTTCAAAAAGCCTCTGTTTCCTTCTCTGGACAAAACTCACCGTCCCATCCCCTGGTGACCCTCCGCAAGGGCGGAAAATATGTCATCCCAGACGCAGGCTGGAGGACGTAACCCCTTTCTGGAACAGGCTGGCCTCATGGTCAAGGTAAAAGAACGAAGGTAGAACCACACGGAGGCTTTTAAAGCTCCTGCTTGAATGTGGCACTGGCCATTCCTGCTCCAAGGCAAGTCCCGGCCAAGCCCCGAGGGGTCAGAAAGGCCCGTGTCCCATGGACACAGGGGCACCGTTCCCCCGTTCGGAGCCACCTGCCCCGGCCAGGCCACCTGGCCAGATGCCATGCCCTCCTTGTCTGGGTGGGTGCCGGTGCTGGCCGGGCCCCAGGTGCCCCCAGAAAGTGCCTGTAGATTCCAAACCCATCAGGTGCAGCCAACCCAGCACGGAGCATATCTCTGAAACCTCCGAGCAGAGACAGATGCTATCGGGCTCCTCCTGGCCCAGCCTGGCCCTGGTTCCCCTCCAGACAGGGTGAGGGCAGGGGCCCGTTAATCATTAACCTGGGGGCAAATGGGTAAATTTCCAGTCCGCCAGGCCTACACCCAAGCCCCTCCCGGCAGCCTGGCAGGAAACCCTGGGAGCTTGACCCTTGGCTGGTCCACGGCAGAATCCGATGTCAACTCCAGCTGGGGGGCCCCACCCTGACCAGCTTCCAGGGCGGAGAGCCCCTGGGGGGCCGCAGGCAGCAAAGGGGCAGCAGCTCGCAGCCCCCCAAATGTCCTCCCCTCGCCAGGGACAGTGCCTGCCTGTGCAGTTCCCATGTTTCAGAAATTGCTGCTTTCCTTACAGCAGCTGATTGACAGATGGCAGAGCGAGCAGGGAGGGATAGGGATTTTAATCAACAGTGTTGCCCGTCCTTCAAGTCCTGTCTCAAATGCATTTTAAGAATAATAGCTATCATTGTTGTACCATTACAGGTACATGATGTTATATGAGATGATAGAGCTACCACTTTATGAGTGCTTATTTCTAAGCCCCTTAAATTACTATGCAGACACCTGAAGAGGCAGTGACTGGGCAGATCAGCAGCAAGGTGGGGACTAGGACTAGAGTTCTCTGTGAAATGGTTCTACCAGTTCAAAACTGCCCTGTTTCCTGGTGGCCCTCTACATGGGTGGGCTGCCCTGCTGCTCTGGCCTGTTGATTGAACCAATGAGGATCACATGACCCAAGCTGGGCCAATCAGTCCTTTCTCTGGGAATTTGAAATGTGAATTAAGAGAGCATACAGTTGCTTTCTCTCTCTTTTTTGGTGACTGGCCTGTAACTCAGGAGATTTTTTTTTTTTTAAAGGAAGCTGGTCTAAAGAGAGAATGAATCAATGCCTCAAGAGAGTGGGAGAGAGAATTTGGGGAGCAGGGTCTTTCTGAGGTCAGCTGTGTTCTTGCTTGAGACGCCCCTACCTGTAATACAGTGTCAAGACTTGGAGTTGGTTTGTGTAACTAAGGGTGCCTGCAGCCCCTGATGAGGTTCCTATGACAGCTGTGGAGTGCCAGCGTGCCCTAGGCTGCTCCTGTGAGCCAGGCTCAGTACCCTTTCCCCATCCACAGGCACATGTTTTTTGTTTTTGTTTTTAAATTTCATGTAATATAGCCTGTGATTGACGGCCCCAGGAGTCCAGTATAAAGTCGGTTAATTTTATTAGCGGTAATGACACTAAGTAGCGATTAATGGTCGGGAAAGGCAGCCAACCGCACAGGGACCTCAGGCCACATTGGCCTTGGGCTGCCCAGGGCTGCCCTCAGAGAAGGCTGCCTGGCACTGCCCCTCAGGGGCAAGGAGGACAGCAGGGAGCCCTTCCTGGACCCAGTTTCCCCCTTATTTGTTTTCCATGTTGTGGTTGGAGATCATATTTCCTTTGAAGAAATAGGGCCCTGACATCAAATTTAGAGAATGCCTGGAGGCATTTCCTAAAACCGTGCTTGTGAGCTCTTCTCCACATGCCCATCCCAGGGTGTCTGCTGGGGAAGGCTTCTTCCTGGACCTTGGAAGAATTCTAGGTGGTGCAGGCTCCAGTCTGTTCCAGGTCAGTGGACAGGATCCTCTTTCCTTAAAGAAACCACATCCTCTGGTACCCCAGGCCTGAGAACCCACACACCAGGCCCCTCTGCAAAAATCTCAACTGCCCACATATTAGTTGAGCCCCATGGGAGTAAACTGGAGAAGATCAAGTGGCCTTCGTTAACCTAATAAATCCAGACAAATTTGGGGGTTCTAATAAAGACACGGCTCCCCGGTGAGGTCCGACTATCAGCCAAACAAGTGACCAGCGTTCTGAACCAAAGAGCAGAGGATGAAGAATTTGCAATTTTCCTTGTTGCTCTTCTGCGCTGGGGGACTAGCCTCCAGGCTTCCCCGCCTGACTCGTGTTCCTGAGACACCTGGAACCTCATGGGTGGCATCTGCGATGGCCCAGCTGGTCTCCCCGATTCCTGCATCATCCAGTCCAGCTTCCACAGACATCATCCAGTCTGGTTTCCAGACGCTCTTCTCCCATTAGGAAAGTAACAACCCCCTGTGACCATCTCCATTCTCCTCCCTTCTTTGGCCTCAGCCTATATCCTCTGCCCCCCTACTCCCTTAGCCCATGACCCTTAGGTTAATAATAAGACAAGAAACCCCCACTCCCATGCAATGAGATGCACCTGGCTTTGACCCCTGACCATCCCAGACACTTCCCCGGCCACCTCATCTCCCCATGGAGTGGGAAAAGGCAAGGGTGCCCCTCAGGACTCCATCTCACACTCATCCCCTGCCCCACCCCCCAACCCGGATGTCTCTTCTGTCCGCTCCTGGCCCTTGACACCTCTGCCTCCCTTCACATTCCCCAAGGTCACCCACAGTTTGGGCTAAAGCAGCCCCACCTGGGGTGACGTTGAAGTAAGCAATAGACGGTTCCCCAGGCTTTGAGGAAGGCTTCTCAGGAGACTGCTTTGGTTTACCATCAGCCAGGACTCAGGAGCCATCAGACCCCTGACAGGAAGTGGGGTTCATCCTGAACCAATCACCCATCACCTGCTGGAGAGTGGGGACCCAGGGACCTCAGGTCCCCAAGGCAGTTCTGATCTGGGTGGTTGGGTCCCAGGTCTGCCCTCACTTGCCCGTGACCTTGAGGACATCCACTCGCCCTCTGAGCCATTCCATCGAAGAGGTACGCGGTGACGAGTGGGGGAGCATGACCGGGGCCAGACTGCTTGAATTCGAATTTCACCGCCGCCTCTTACGAGTCCCCCCACCTTGGGAAAGGGACTCCACCTCCTGAGTCTCATCACAGTGCCTACGTCACAGGGCTGACCTGAGGGGGAAATGCGTTCACATTTGTAAGTTCTTAGAACACTGTCTCGCACGTCATAAGCTCCAGATACCTGTCCTTCTCAAGTACCTACTATGTGCCGGGCCCTGTGCTGGGTGCTGGGACCCGCTCCTGCCTTCAAAGAGCTCACAGTCTGGAGAAAACATGGCTGAATGCAAGAGTACCCCAGACTCTCCCGAGGCCCGAAGGGGCAGGGGAGGGAGAAGGAAGTTTTGAACCAGCCCAGCTCCCCGAGGAATAATAAGCTGCTCAGGGACCCAAATCATCTGGGTGAGAACCTGACCTTGGCCATTCTCTGTCCTGCCTGCAGGGGGAGGTGTGGGGTGGGGAGGAGGCAGGAGGACGCTCCCAGGCTTGGCAGGTGGAGAACACTTCCCATCACCTGAGGGTGCCCCCGGCTCTGCTTTTCTACCCCCCCCCCCACCTCCA